GGAATCTTGAAATAGTTAGACAAGAAAATAATTAAAAAAACACAATTAGATTTGATTTGAACAAATAGATATAAATAATCTCTAGTGTCAATTGTTGTTCTTCAAATTGATGAATTGAAAACTGTCAATTATGGAGGGTCATGAAAATATCTTGTTTTATTTTAAGTTTCTCCGCATATGATAGGATGTTCCTAAGAATTAGGTACTATGTCAAAAATGACTTGGCGATTTAATAATAATTGCAGTGGAAAATGGGCCAGCCAATAATACTATAATAGTATATATATATATATATTATTTTTTTTTTTTGAGAAAATACTATAATAGTATATACAGTAAAAAGAATAAAATATAAACATATATTACACATATACGTAACTTTATCCAAGCAATCAATGAAATGTGGGATATAAGCCACACCTAATTCATGAAACTTATGAACAAAAGGTTGAGAAGCAGAGAAGACTAAGACTGCCTATCAAAAAACCTGGGATAGCCATGGAAGAAACTGGAGAACCACCATCAAACAGAACCAACTCGAATGCGATAGACGACGAGACGGCTCTCACTCAGCAAAATATGGAAGCAGATGAGGCTTCTGTAAATGGAGAAGCAGACCTTGAAAACAACTTCCTACATCAGCCGCTCTTAAAGAGAAACAGAACACTCTCTGCTAGTCACTTAGCTATGGTGGGAGCGAAGGTTTCGTATATGGAAAGCCTCGATTACGAGTAGGTTTTCTCACTCTAATCTTACTCAATCTTGTTTCTCTTCAAGTTATAATGGTTTTGTAAGAGACTGTTTTATTATGGATGTTACAGGATCAATGAGAATGATTTGTTTCAAACAAGATTGGAGAAGTCGATCTAAGATACAAGTATTACAATACGTGTTCTTGAAATGGAAACTTGCATTTCTGGTGGGACTGTTAACTGGTCTTATAGCTACCCTGATAAATCTTGCAGTTGAGAATATTTCTGGATATAAGTTGCTTCTTGTGTCAGGCTTTCTTGAGCAGGAAAGGTATTTCTGATTGTTTAATCTTTTATTTATTTATTTATTTATTTATATTCAAATAAATAAAGATTAAAATATTTTACACTAAATTTGAGGGTAAATTTTTTTGGGTGCAGGTTTATGATGGGGTTGATTGTGTTGACAGGAGCTAACTTTTTACTGACTCTGAGCTCTACAGTGTTAGTTGTTTTCTTTGCTCCTACTGCTGCTGGACCTGGTATACCTGAAATCAAAGCATACCTTAATGGTATTGATACCCCAAACATGTATGGGTTACCAACCTTGCTTGTTAAGGTTAGTTTGTTCTGTTATTCTCATATCCTCTCTGTCCATGTTTGATTCAATAAGATTAGAAAGAGAATCTGATTCTGACCATTAGCGATGTGAGATATAATTGATATCGGAAAGTATATCAATGTATATTTCGACATTAATAATATGTCATATCTCTGACACTGACTAATAATTCACACATGATTACATTTTCAAAAGATAAATTTGTGGAGTTCCGCCTCTGGGGTCTTCTTTTTCTGTATTCTTAATTATAGGAAATTTTAGTTTTGTCTGGTGAAAAAAGTTGCAGGTATGAGTTTAATTGTTATTAACTGTAGCTCAAAGTATCTATGCCAATGATTGCACATAGTGGGAAAAGGCTTTATTTGGCTGAGCATGCTTTTTCATACCTTATGGTCATACAAAAAGTATCCCATTCCCCCCACCAGAAAAGTAGGAAAACCCAAGAGAACCTATTAAAAGTGGATAATAGTTCAAAGACTAACAAAGAAATAAGACTAAGAAATAATGAAGCTTGACGAAGATAATGGCCACAAATCTATTTCTTAGAATAGCAAAGGTCTACTTATGTAAAATATAAGGTACTAGAGTACATGAATGAAATATCAAACTGAGGAACTAATACCTGGATGATGACTGAAGATGTTACTTTTTTCTTCTATGTCAGATATTTGGGAGCATAGGAGCAGTCTCTGCTGGCTTGGACCTTGGCAAAGAAGGGCCCTTAGTGCACATAGGAGCATGCATTGCTTCATTACTAGGCCAGGGTGGAACAGAAAAGCATCGCGTTAAATGGCGGTGGTATCGTTACATGAACAATGACAGGGATCGGAGAGATCTAATCACCTGTGGATCTTCTTCAGGAGTTTGTGCAGCTTTTAGGTCCCCAGTGGGAGGGGTTCTCTTTGCTCTGGAAGAAGTGGCAACGTGGTGGAGGAGTGCTCTTCTTTGGAGAACTTTCTTCAGCACAGCAGTTGTGGTTGTAGTGCTCAGGACTGTCATTGAGTACTGCAGCTCTGGAGAATGTGGACTTTTTGGCAGAGGAGGACTCATCATGTTTGATGTGAGCAATGTTATTGTGCATTACCATCTGATGGATATCATCCCTGTCACCCTCATAGGACTCATTGGTGGTGTTCTCGGAAGTCTTTACAACTATGCCCTGCACAAAGTTCTCAGACTTTACAATCTCATTAACGAGTAAGCAACATATAAACCATGTTGATCTCTTGAACTAATCCACTGTTTCATCGAATCTGATTCTAGATAACCTGAATATATCATAATTTTCATGGTCATAGAAACAAAATCGATACAAAAAGGAACTATATTGTTCAGTTTTTATATCACGTTTGTTAGACAAGGAATTAATGATGGGGTATAATTTTCAAAATCTATTAGGATATACGAGATTCTAACTACTTATCTTCTTAGATTGATACACTTATCATTATCAAGTATACTCTTCTTAGATCATTGCTTCTAATCACACTACATAATCACTTAAAATAAAGTCTAACATGTCTGTAACATATAAGTTAACTTCAAAGTTCCACATATTACTTTATGCATTGTAAACTCAAAAAAACTTCTATATAATACTGGCTTATACTTCGCTTATTTTACTTTCTGAGGTCAAATCCAAAAATTACACCTACCGTGTCCATAGAAAATATATATATGTCCACAGCAATTCACGGGGAACAGGGGAAGTTCCCCATGGGCAGAAGTCTCTCCTATAAAGACGATTTCACTCTCTTTTTTAAACAGTTTCTTTTTCAAAATTGTGGGATTAAGCCACTTTTTGCAATATCCTACCATCTTCATTCATAAAGTTCTTCCACAAATCTGTTTCTTCACTTAAATGAACATTCATAATGTTGAAATTAATGATCAAATGACAAGGAAACAAGTGATGGTGCATTTCTTTGGACATAAACATAAAACATTCTTTTTGTAACCAAAAAATAAAATTGCATTGCCATCATCTATTGAGTTTTGATCCATGTTTCTGAAGATATTCTATCCTGCTGCAGGAGGGGAAAATTAGCAAAGATTCTTCTAAGTCTTACGGTCTCAGTTTTTACCTCTGTGTGTATGTATGGCTTGCCCTTCCTTGTGAGTTGCACAGAATGTGATCCGTCCCTATCGAATTTTGACTGCTCCACGACAGGAAGAACAGGGAACTACAAGAGATTCAACTGCCCAAAAGGCTATTACAATGACCTTGCCAGCTTACTGTTTTCTACCAATGATGATGCTGTTCGAAATATCTTCTCCACAAATACACCAGGAGAGTTTCGCCCAATCACTCTCGTGATATACTTTGTGTTGTACTGTATCCTGGGACTCTTTACCTTTGGCATTGCCGTACCTTCTGGACTCTTCCTACCTATCATTCTCATAGGTTCAGCATATGGCCGTTTGCTTGGCATTGCCATGGGAAGTTACACAAAGATTGATCGAGGGCTTTATGCAGTTCTAGGTGCAGCATCTCTCATGGCTGGCTCGATGAGGATGACTGTGTCACTTTGTGTGATTTTCCTCGAACTCACCAACAACCTCTTGTTACTCCCCATAACAATGCTCGTGCTTCTCATTGCAAAATCAGTGGGAGATTGCTTCAACCTGAGTATCTATGAGATCATACTAGATCTAAAAGGCCTACCTTTCTTAGATGCAAATCCTGAACCATGGATGAGAAATATCACTGTTGGAGAGCTTGCTGATGTGAAGCCTCCAGTAGTTAGCCTTCGAGGAGTTGAGAAGGTATCTCGAATTGTAGATGTCTTGAAAAATACTACACACAATGGTTTCCCTGTCATAGATGATCATACTACAATCCCAACAAGAGGCAATATAAAGGCAAGGGAGTTGCACGGGCTAATTTTAAGAGCTCATCTTGTAGCTGTGCTGAAGAAAAAGTGGTTTCTGGAGCAGCCAAGAAGAACAGAGGAATGGGAAGTAAGAGAGAAATTTACCTGGGTTGAATTAGCCGAAAGAGACCTGAACTTCGAACAAGTAGCCATAGAAAAGCATGAAATGGGCATGTATGTTGATCTGCACCCTTTCACGAACAAAACTCCTTATACCGTGATAGAGGACATGTCAGCCGCAAAGGCAATGGTACTGTTCAGGCAGGTTGCACTTCGCCATATGCTCATTGTACCGAAGTACCAAGGTGATGGGGTAAGTTACAACCTGTTATATCTCATAAAACATCTGACTACCTGCAAAAATCTTAGTGAATACAACCTTTTGGCCTTGTGGGTGACATATTCCAAGGAGTTGAAAAAGAACAGCTTTCTGAGTGGTCACTTTATTCAGCATCTAATCAGATGGTTTTATTTCTTTGTGCAGATATATCCTGTGATCGGAATCTTAACAAGGCAAGATTTGAGAGCCCACAACATTCAGAGTGTGTTCCCTCACATAGCAAGAGCCAAAGGCAGGGAAAAGCAAAAATGAATTCATCCAAAAGCTCAGATGTGCAGAATTTGTCTCCTCGAATCAACAGATTTGCATTGCATTTTTTTCCACAGCTCTCAATTTTGCATTCTTTGTTCCGATATAATATGTACAAGGTTGTAAATTTTAAAGAATAGTCATAAGTACAGTTTGTGTAGGCTCCCCACATATTACATATTATCTATCTATAAAGGAACACATTTACTACAAAAGCAGCACTGCAATAGTTGCTCACATTCAACATTTCTTGTACAGTTTCCTCCCTTTCTGGCTTTACTCTGCTTCTATGTTGCTAAACATACACGCCCGAATTCAAACATAGAGGCATTAGTCAATGCTTCGTCTCTTTTTTATTCAGCGGTTTCTCCCTTGCCTTCATTATCAAGGTCCAACATCGGCTCACTCTTGGGTAAGTCCAAGACCTTGACGCAACAACTAAAGCCAAATGCAGATATACAGTATTATGATTATCCTTGTGATGATTTCTTAGGCTTCTATTTTTTTGGATGCCTTTTTTTTATCATTCGACCCAGAACCTCGTTTAAATATGGCCAAAACCTCAATACTGCAACAAAAAATAGAATATAGTTATTAGTCAGTTAAGAAAAAGCATCATCGCGCAATATCAACTTGATCCTTTTTAAAAGAAAGACTATTACTTATCAGTTTACTTGAGGGGAGCAGAATAAACTAGAAACAATTAATCTTCCGATGAATGTGCAATGATAATATGAAAGATAAATACAATTCAGAGGCCATGCATGAACATTCCAGATACCATAGACTCTGCTCAAACTAAGTTGGAACAAAATCTGTCTATATATGTTCTAGCAATGGCTTTGCTACACTAAACAAGACGAGGGACTTGTAGAGCATTTGAACAAAGACCAAAGCATCAAGCTAATATAGTCTTCTTCATTGCAAGTGTTTTGTCAAACCCAGATAAGTAACTAAAGGCAAACATTAGTAAAAATAGGATCCTATTCCACATTTCCAACATATATTTTAAATGAGACCAAACTATTACCTTAATAATGGAATTGCATCTTACCAACTAATCCAGAGTGTGAACTCTAAACCCAGTGATAGGCAGAAAATATAGAGAGACATGAACAATTATTAATATGGAGTACATGAACTTCATTAGATTTTCAACGTCGTTTCTGTGTAGGGTAGCTAAACTTCCAGGAATGAGTGATTGAAATATGCATCATGGATAAAAACTTACAATGAAGCAATCCACAATAAATAGAAAATGAAGAAAAAAAAAAATTGAAATGAAGAAGAGGATTTGGGGAAGTTTGATATATGGTTGAGCTACGTATTAGCAATGCAATTAAATCATCACTAAAGAATTTTACAACCCCAGGCCTTCCAAGTGGCTAGACACTCCATTAATCATATCAAACAGAAGTATAATTCAATCACAATTCAATCACAACTCTCTCTCTCTCTCTCTCTCTCTCTCTCTCTCTCTCTCTCTACTGTAGATAATCCTAACACACTGCATATCCACACAAGCATGCACAAATATTGTAGATAGACACAGAATCAGGATGTTGGGCCTGGAGAAGGGTTATTTTCAGGTTCTCGGGTATGGAAATTCCAGTGGACAAGTTCATGCTAAACCTTGGTCAATTTAGTACAAACAAAGCCCTGTACATAACCATGACCAGACAAGTACATAATTCTTCACCCAAAAAAAAAAGTCAGAACAGAATTGGTGTAGTCCAAACTTGAAATAATATTGAAAATTAAATTGCTCCTTTTTTTTTTTTTTTTTTTGACGGGAGAACATAGCAAAATTTTAACTTGCTAATTATCAAATGAATGATTCTCTGAAGTATACGAGCGTGGATAAACCAACACACATATAATTAGAAAATACTCAAGAAGGTTAACATGTAGATGCAAATCAGGCTTACCTTTGTGTTCCGGGAAAAAAGTTAAAGCCATGAGCTTTTTCCAAAAGCCAAGCCTTGTTTGATAACAGCTGTTTGCAGTCCTGCAGATTAACTATGAAATTAGAAACTGACTAGTATATATTGTTTAAAACTAAAGCATAGTATAAGTCCATGTCCAATGCAATAATAAGTATGATTTTAGCACCTTTTTGAAGCTATCCCATCCACAGCTTATTATAAACAAGTGTTGAGAAGCACATCACTTTCATCTGGCCTATTTGAGCCTTGTACACTGACAGAAGCTTCTCTTTCTCGCAAGATCCATGGTCTTTTTTCCTCTTTCAAATTTGAGGGAGAGCTACAAATTAAGGAAATAGCAAATTGAAAATGAGTTTCAGGCATTTAGTTCATGAGCGAGTAAAGAACTGTGAAATTCTTGATCCTAATATCACGGCCATATTGAAAGAAAGTGACTACCTGGAAGAAGCAACTGCCTTGCGCTTTACTGATGATATAGTCTGTAATGCACTAAGCAGTGAGTCATCCAGCCCTTTTCGGGAGGATCAACCACAATTACATCAGATCCCACCAAACCATGAAAGAGGTTCCTGGCCAGGTAACAGACATCAATAAATCACAAGCTCTATTCACACGGAATCACAAGCTCTATTCACACCCCTGTCCAAACAAAAGGAGAAATGGAAAAGAAAGATAGATTGAAAGGGAAGGTAGGATGGAGTGATTAAGAGTTGAAGTGAAATCATCTAGCACATCATTTTCTACCCCAGTGAGAATATCAGCAACCACAGTGCCAATAAGCAAGATCTCTACATCAGGGAAAGCTCTAATTCAATTGCTATCAAAGTAGTATCAAGTCCATCTCTAATCTACTCTACATTCCCCATCAAGCCAAAGAAATTTACTAGCAAGAACAAAAGATAAAACTGCCAGGATCTTCTTTGTTAAAACCAAAGTCCCATAAAGTTGCATTAAATATACCACAAGCATATAGAATGCAAGCATCAATGCACTTGCTGTGCGTGACAAATTCTGTGAGAAGTACCACATATACCTCAATATAGACTCAAAGGCCCTGTTTTGCTCACCTTGTTTCCACTTATTTCCCGAAAAAATAAAGTTTTAATAAAGGTTGATAAATTCAGATTAGGGTTAACAAGGGTTACTTTAGTTCAATTTATTGCTGAAATAAATAAAGTTCGGATACATTCTGATACAGGTGACTAGAATGCACCCTAAAAAATGGTCACATCCTGCATGCAAATGAACTTGCTAGGAAAACTAAAATCTTTTACAGTGAGATAAAGGTACTAACTGGTTCAGCACCAATAAAATGCTTAACTTACTAGTATCATACTATCATATAAACAAAAACATCATTTAAATAGCTAAAAGAGTTTCAAGGGACATAACACAATCGGTCATGAATGATTTCACTGCAATTAACACTCCTGTAATACTGGCATTTCAAACATTAAGCAGCTTCACAAGCGTGACCCATTCTACATTAGTATCTTCTTTGCCCACAGATCTCAGAGCAGTTTTATAAGCAACAGCAAACATCTCAAAACAGTTCTATCAAACTCACTACATACAATACACTATCGCCAGCTACCCAAACATTTCCATGTCAGTAACTAAAAACAAGAGAACTAAGGCTCTTGCCTTCAGATAATTGATATACCATGTTAGTGGCTAACTAGAACAAGCAAGAACATAGCTTATATGTCAAAGTGATCGCAATCATTATCACATGTAAATACAGATGCAAACTTTAGAGGTTGTGATAGACACCATGGACGGTCTTATAGAACCTCCTAACCCAAAAATCTACAGCCTTGAGCCAGTAAATGTATAATTCAGAATTCCAATAAGTGAAAAGTACATATCGATGATTATAGTGACCAAAGCTTACCAGAGCAGCATCTACATTATGCCAGCTCATGTTGCTATCAACATTTGGTAAACGGCTGACTGTCTTCTCAAAGCAGTGCTTGACTCCTTGTTAATCTCAACACACCTGACACTTCTGAGAACCTCATGAAAAAGAGGTGCAGAAAAGACAATAGAATTACATTAAAAGATGAGAATCGGATTCTTTTTCTTTATAAGCTAAGAGGAGAATAAGCCCCCTTGAATATAAAAGACAAGTTCTTACCTGCATTTTTTTTGCAACGGCTAATGATAATCCAATAACACCAGCTCCTCCATATAAATCAGTTACTGCTGAACCATAAGGAACATACTTTATGTAACTTGCGGAGCAATGAATCAAAGGCCTATCAATAAAGAAAAAAAATTAAGTCTGCAGAAAGACCAAAACAAATAAGCTGTGTTTACTTTCATAAATGTGCAAGATGCATCTATGTCCTTCCATAATGGACCAAAGACTTCGAAAATTTATGATCATAATACCAAACTGATCAAATTATAAATATGAATTAAATGACCTAAAAAGGACCAATGTAGATTAGACCAAAATGGCAGGAAATACAATGCTTTAGTATATGTTAAAGCAAACTGAATTATACATACATCACTCCATCTCATTAAGAATGAGAGTCTTTTCAAGATTACAGTATCATACCCGTGTATTTGCTTGTCCAAAGCTAGAAGGAGTCAAGTAGATATCAATTCCTCCAACATGCTCCCAAAAATCTCTTTCACCAACAAGATGTCTCCATCTATTGCCAAAAAATTATCTGCATTATCAACAAGTGTATCTTGGTCAAGGAACTTTAAGCCCGTGCTGAGTAGTATAGTTAGTTACACTAATTTCAAGAAGAGGTTGACAGAACTCTATTGCCTAGATTTAGTAATACAATGAATGGAACAGTATCTTACAAACGATTTGTTATAAATTTTGTTATTTTCCTTTCTCAAATATCTAAGAACAAACTTATAAATGGAAAACAGGAAAAGTAACAGAGTACCAATGCATGAAGGTTCTCTGACTGACTTTTGAGATAATTTTTCAGACAGTAAGTTTCTAATATCCAGCATACACAAAGATTCAGAAGTTTCTTGAGCATAAAAAATTTAACTCTACATTTGTTAAACAGTACATTAGTTTCTGCTTTATTTGGAACTTTTCTGTAAACTAATTTCTTGCTAATTTACTAAATAGAAATTAAAAAAAAAAAAAATTGAAGAAGGTATCAAACTAGTAGGGACACTATTCTAACTCAAGGTGTGATTTTAAAATTGATATTCAAGGAAAGAAGAGTCGTACATCTCATTCAGATAGAAACCTGCATGGACTATTGCTCAACAGGAGTTAATATTGACCTTTTTATTCTTCTAAAATTCTACATTTACTCCCACTGATATATACCTTTACCCCCAGTTCTTTTCCTCATCAAACATTCTTTAACGAAAACTTTTGCTATATGGCAATTTGGACTTTGTCCTTAGTTTTATATCTTATATATCTCTCATAAGTTCAAATTGTAGGAGTTATATCAATTTACAAATTGCTAACTCAAATAATAATAAGGATTATATGGAGGAATAAATATGGGTTACAACCCGGGATAACAAAATATATAATTTTTTAAATATTTCATATATATTGTTATCCCGGGTTGTAACCCACATTTATTCCTTCATATAATCCTTATTATTATTTGAGTTAGCAATTTGTAAATTTATAACTCCTACATTTGGTATCAGAGCCACATTATTTGCAATATCCCAAAATGTCTACAAACTTTGTTCAACCACAAGTACCCAATTGTCAAAAGACCAATATGAAGATTGGTGCATCAAAATGAAAGCATTTGGTTCCCAAGATTTGTGGGAAATTGTTAATGATGGGTTTGAAAATCCATCGGATGAAACAAAAGCGACATTAACTAAACAGAAGAAAGATGAGTTGAAAGAAAATCAGAAGAAATATCAAATGGCACTATTTTTTATCTACGCAGGATTAGACCGCGAAACATTTGTGAAAATCTCAAATGCAACCACAAGCAAGGAAGCTTGGGATAATCTTACAACTATATTTAAAGGAGTCGAGAGAGTTCGAAAAATTCACTTACAAGCACTACGAGGTGAATTTGAGGAAATCAAAATGACTAGTAATGAGTCAATCTCTGAATATTTTTCTCACCTACTTACAAATGTTAACCAACAAAAATTAAATGGAGAAAAGATTGAGATAAAAAGATTATTGAGAAAGTACTTCGATCATGCAATAAAAGATTTAACCATGTATTACCTACGATAGAAGAATCAAAAGATATTGATTCATTATCAATAGAAGAACTTATGAGATCCTTTTAAGTACATGAACAAAGAATTCAGAAGAATGATGAACCAGGTATTATAGAGCAGGCACTTAAATCAAAGTTGTCATTAAATGAACAAAGAGGTGGAAATCGACGAGGCGAATTTTCGTGGACGAGGAAAAGGTCGTGGTAACTACCAACCTCGCAACCAAAGTAATGAGAGAAGTTTTAGCCAAGGAAAGGGTCAAACAGTGGAGGAAAGAGTTTCAACGAACGCGGTAAATCAAAAGACATTCAGTGCTATAATTGTCAAAAATATGGACATTATGCATTTGACTATTGGAGCAAACAAAATGATCAAGGCAATCGATTAAAATTTGCTAAATCATCAAAACAATGAAGAAAGTCCTACATTGTTATTGGCACATGAAGAAGCTAGTAATCAGCAAGACGTGGTTTTTCGATTCTGGAGCTAGCAACCACATGTGTGGAGAAATCAGCAAGACGTGGTTTTTCGATTCTGGAGCTAGCAACCACATGTGTGGGAAAAAAGAATTTTATTGACCTTGATGAGAAGATTCAAGGTAAATGGAAGTTTGGAAGATTCATCCAAACTACAAGTTGAAGGTAAAGGAAAAATACAATTTTTTCTTAAGAATGGATATGAAGAATTCATTTCTACTGTTTATTATGTGTCAATATAAAGAGTAACATTCTCAGTATTGGACAACTTTTTGGAAAAAGGATATATTGTTCATATGAGGGTAATCATCTTCAACTAAAAGATAATAGTGGAAGAATCATTGCTCAATCGAAAATGACGAAGAATTGCATGTTTCCGCTGCAACTTAACACCGAGGTTCAAAAGTGTTTCTACGATATTATGGAGAATGAGTCATGGAAATGGCATAAACGTTTTGGGCATTTACATTTCAATGGTCTAAAAGTTTTGCAATCAAAGAATATGGTGCATGGATTACCTACCATT